GGTAGAAAATCAAGAGATCATATCACTTGGTCCTGATGTGGACTTAGGTCTATGTGAGCCAAGCCTTAAGCACAGCGAGTTAAGTGTATAAATTGCTTGTGTTGATAGTAATGTGATCTGGAGTGACTCATTCACATGGACAAAGCATCACTTTGCACAGACATCAGGCAATGAATATTCATGTATGAACCAGCTCATTATGATTCTCTTATGTGGAAGAGAAAAATTATACATTCTTCCATGAGAAGCATATACACAAGCCTGCTTCAGACAACAAATGTTGGGAAGCTTCTCTTGTCAATGGCTGTCAGCATATGCACAAGTACACAAATGACTACATAGACAAACCATAAAAACAGCAACAACCTCTAACCAGTATCTTCTTATCCAGCAAAGGTGAAACCCCAGAATATGAAAAACAAAAAGATGGTTAAGGGTGCAATCCTATGCAAATTTAGACAGAAAAAAGCCAGCAATTCCCAGTCATGCTTGCTTGTAGAACTTTTTTTTTCTGGCTAAGCATGCATGGAATAAGACCCTCATGTAATTCAGTGTTTAAAGGCACACCCTCTGCTTCTGTGAACAGATCATCTCCCCTACAGTTCCCACATTCCCCAGACAGTGCATCAAAGCATATATAGGATTGTTCCCTAAAGGTGGAAAATTAATGTCTATAACGTACAGAGAGCTTATGCGCTAGATCAGGAGATGGCAACTTGTGACCCTTCAGGTATTTTAGCTTAAAATTCCCATCAGTTCCAGCCAGAATAGCTAATGATGACAGACTACTGGAATTGTATGCCAAAACAGCTGGAATGTCACACACTGTCCAGCTCTGCACTAGACTGTTAAAAATAGGGATCTTCCAATGATGAGCGGAGCCGGCTGGTGCCGGAGGTCAGACTAGATGGCCTGGGAGACCCCTTCTGACTCGCTCTGTTTCTGTGTTTCTATGAAGTGATGCTATTCAAGATGTCAGTCACTCCATTCCAGTTATCACTACCTCTGCATGCCTTTTCCCTCACCACTCTGGCAGTCAGGCAGCATTCTGTGCATGCTCAGTCCTCAGTGGCCCAGATCTGCCCCTGCTCCCCTTGGGATTTTTTGTTTTTTCTTTTCTTTGCTAGAGGCATTCACAGCCTAAACATCAGAAGCTGAGGAAATGGTTGTAATACAGGGTCACAAGATTTCCATATGAAAAATTCTGGCTACTCTGGATATTCCCTGAAAAATGGTATTTAATATATATTAAATTTATTTATTTATTGCATTTTATTGCATTAAATGAAAACATTCAGCTGCATTTCCTATTGTAGAGAATCCAACTGTAATTCAGTTAGAATGTCAAAATGAGTTTTAAGCATTTCATTAATTGCAAGATCTCACATTTGGTTCAATATAGCAAAAATAAACTTATATTGATGTTTCAGTAATAGATGTTCTTTAAATATAACTGATTAACATAGCATATCAGCATACATAGATAATTCACAGTATATGCAAACAGCAGGGCCTGTCACAATAAATTTAGATAAGGTTTAGGGAGGTATGACAGAAATAATGAAAGTGAGCAAATGCAGTTCTACAGATTTGGTGTTCTTCTCCTGGGAAGAAAATTATGGAGTTAAGCCAAAAGGTTTAAAAGAAGATGGGTTTTGAACTGGCATTTAATGGGAGAGAAAGGGTGTGTCAAATGGAGTCACTAACTCATCACATATCTATTCCATCTTGTCTTCTTTAATGGATATTTTGTTGTGAAAGGTGAAAGAAGCCATAGGAAAACAAGAGTTATAAGAGTTAGATGAGATTACCTGAACTCTCATGTAAATTACATAAATGGAGCAAGGCCACAGTACAATGAAAGTCTTGTCATAAAGTTTCACAAGGCAGGGGGCACCATGTAGGCATTCCAGGAGGAAGATCCAGATTAAGTAGTTAAAAGGCAAATGATTATTCAATAATTAAAAAAAAACATTCCATGGGCTGACAAGCTCTGGTTGCTTTTTCGTTCCAGTTATCAGTGGCAAGTCTATCTTGTGTTATGTCTCTTGGTGTATGTGCAAGGGAGAAATAGCCTTTTCCATGTGTTTCCTGTCAGGTCTGAAAAGATGCAGTGGGTATTGCCTTGCTCTGTTAACAGCTTACATCCAGAACCTCCATGTCTGCACAAGGACCTGTTTCTCTCCTTGACTCAGCTGCAGCTGAGTTTCAGAAGAACCTGACTCTTGGATTTCCATATTCCTCCAGGCATTGGTCTTTAAACAGGCTTGGACTGACAATGGATATAATTATGCTTTCTCACTAATTAGGGATAATTATGAAATGTTTGTTAAAGTAGCTTGGGCTTCCAAAGGCAGGGGATTATGAGCATAACTCATGAAGAGGGCCAAGAGCCCTCTTCAAAAGATACTTGAATGCCAGGACCTCTTGGTGAATTATGGGGCCCAGCTTTGAGCACTGGATATTACTGTGGGCCATTCCGGCCCAATAAATGTGATATGGGATGACTCTAATCACAAGGAGATCCATTTGCATGATCACCACTGTGGCTTATTTAAGCCATGCTGGGTTATGATGCATGCTGCCCAATTTCTGAATATTCACAATGCAACTGTGGCTTGTCACCCAAACCTGGTAAGGAAGGTAGCTGGTGCGGTTAACAAAACATCCAGGCTGCTTTATGCTTGTGGATGATTTGTTAACCATAGTAAAAATGCATCTTCCCCAGGTTTGGATGACATGGTAAGCTTCATGGTTTGAAGGTTCAGAATGGCTGCCTACATGTGCTGCAGCCCACTGTGGCTTAAATAAGCCAGGCAGGCTGTTTGATTATGTGAACAGACAAGGAGGGGAAGCTGATGGCAGCCTTGGTCCATGTGATACAGCCAGCTCTGTCTTAATCCCTGCAATTGTGTGGAGCACAGGGGAAGTGAAGGGAGGAGGTAGACAATCCAGTGCCATCTTGACATTTTAAACTACAGCTCTCATAAAGCCCTACCCAGCATGGCCAATGGCCAGGGATTATGGGGACTATACTCCAAAACAACTGAGGCATCAAGTTGCCTGTTCCACAAGTTATGTGAATGCTGCTGAAAATAACAAATTACCAGTCATCATGTAAACCTGAATTCTGATTCTGTATGCCCTGCCCTTGATGGCTCTGTTCAGCCACCTTATAGCTTCCAAGGTGCCAAGAGGCATTGTCCAGCACATGCTTTCAAGAATATGGTTGCAGCCATAGAAACCTGCTTAAAAGTGTGTAATTAGGACAGTATCATGCCCTGACTTGGGATTTTACTTTTGACTCACACAAAGAGCTAGGAGGTCTGATCAAAGCTGTTACCAGGGAGCACCATTTTGTTCCCACACCTCCCATCATGTCTCTCAGCCCCCCCCCCCATTTAATCTATTAACAACAAACTAGCAAGGGCTGGCCATTCAGCTGGAGACAGGCATGTTTGTGATCCCCTTTGCAAACTCTATTGACACTGCAAAAAGAGTATTCTGGCAGTGGTGCCATCTGGGCAGGACTCTGGGGCAGAGGTCTAGCAGAACGAGCAGCAGAGCCCCCAAATGCAGAAGTTTCCACATTTTAAAGTACACCGAGTAATGCACATTACCAACTAAATAGGGAGGAGGGAGCATGAGACCATTAAGTACATAGTCTAAAATTACTCAACCACACTATTGCATCTTGGCCCTCTGTACTGTTGAAAAGGTCAGTGCACAAAAGCCAAAGTCCCCTGTAACCTCCTGGAATTACAATGACACGCTGCAGCTCACCGCTTTACCGAAAGCCCCGAGTTCTTGTGCGATCTTCAGACAGCACTAAAACATACCACTCAAGAGCCAATTGCACACTATTCAGGAAAGCTTAGAACATACCTTTCCCCTTCCACTGCCACTCTGTTTCTTGTTCTCTCATACTTCAGTCCTACTCAAAAGTGAGTCCTGCTCTGTTCAGTGAGACATACTCCTTCCTAGAATTAGGCACAGGGTTGCCACCTAAGGCTATGACTGGCGCTAGAGCCCAGCATCTCATGTTCTTCCTAACATCTAAGAGCAGCTGTGCGATATCAGACACAGTGGTCAGCAG